CCCTATTATATATATATATATATATATTTTTTTTTTGGTCTTAGGGCCAACCCTATTTAATACCTTTAATTTTTTTTGAAATATCAGCATGCATAAGGAGATAGCTCTCAAATCCCTTAAAAGAAAAAATTATCATTCTTAAGTTAAAAAAAGCTAACATACTAGGCACATTTTAACTAACCATTCTAAGCGTAAGAGATTGATAATTATCATTTGTTTTCAACTACCATTACATGCACTGGAGACACACATATTCAACTAGGAAATAATACTAGTATATAAGACTACTAGAAAATTGACAAGTTAGTTCTCTTGATACATGCGAGTTCGAGCTAAAATATCACTCAGTTAATATTAACAACACCACTAAGCATGGTAGTATTTAAGTAACTAACCTTTATCGAGCCTCCAATACTGACAGGCTAAGTTCATTAGTTGAAGACGATTCAGGTTTGCTGAATGAAGAACTTGTTTCGAATGATTTCTTTTCAACAAGGAAACCTGGTTCGTTAGGTTGTACTAGTGCAGTCTCAGTCTCACTACTCAGCATCAAAACCACAGATGACATATTTGGCCTATCCTCCGGGTGTTGCTGAACACATAAGAGACCAATATGAATGCACCTTAACACTTCAGATAGAGTGCACGACTCCAATACAAATGCATCAATCAGTTCTGAAGGATTTCCCTCTTTCCACAATCTCCATGCCTAAATACATGGTAGAAACTTTCTGTCATGTTCTAGTTCAAGGAAAGTAAGAAAGGAGGTCTCGAGTTTTGATACTTACATTGCCAATAAGGTTAACATTGTGGTTGACATGATAAAACCCTCTATTCTTCATTCCACTTATTATTTCTAGCAACAGTATACCGAAGCTGAAAACATCAGATTTTACAGAGAATTGCCCATCAATAGCATATTCTGGTGCCATATAACCACTGCAAAAAAATTATTTGAGACAGATTATATCAGCAGGGATTTGTAGTGAATTAGGTAGTATAGAGACTAGACTTATTATGTTCCAGGTTCCAACCACCCCTTTATGTTACCCTCAGATTGAGACAAATTATATCAACAGGGATTTTGTAGTAAATTAAGTAGCACAGAAAGGACTTACAATGTTCCGACCACCCTCTTTGTGTTCCCCTCAGATTGTTCCCCTCCAAATGTTCTAGCCATGCCAAAATCTGAAATTTTCGGGTTCATTTCGCTATCAAGCAAAACATTGCTTGCTTTGAGATCTCTATGGATGATCCTCAATCGAGAATCTTGATGTAGATAGAGAAGACCTCTAGCAATTCCACAAATAATGTGAAAACGCCTTGGCCAGTCCAATAGATTTCTTCTTGTATTGTCTGTCACAGAACATGTCCTTCATATCAATGTAGT